TATTATATTATATTATATTATATTATATTATATTATATTATATTATATTATATTATATTATATTATATTATATTATATTATATTATATTAAATTATATACACCTGGCCCTACCTGTAGACTTTATCTCCTAACTAAATATCTTTTAAAACTATTAAGATATTTTAAATACCTTTTATCTATTAAAGTATCTCCTAATTAAACTTTCAAATTCTATAAATTAACTCTGAGATTCTATAAAAAACCTTTTAAATCCCATAAGTTAACTTTTAAAATTCTATAAAAAACCCTTTAAAATTCTATAAAAAAACTTTAAAATTCTATAAAAAAAACCTTTAAAATTCTATGAAAAAAACCTTTAAAATTCTATAAAAAAACCTTTAAAATTCTGTAAAAAAACCCTTTAAAATTCTATAAAAAAAAATTTAAAATTCTATAAAAAAACTTTTAAATTCTATAAAAAAAACCTTTAAAATTCTATGAAAAAACTTTTAAAATTCTATAAAAAAACTTTAAAATTCTATTAAAAAAACTTTTAAAATTCTATAAAAAAACTTTTAAATTCTATAAAAAAAACTTTTAAAATTCTATAAAAAAACTTTTAAATTCTATAAAAAAAACCTTTAAAATTCTATAAAAAAACCTTTAAAATTCTATGAAAAAAACCTTTAAAATTCTATAAAAAAACCTTTAAAATTCTGTAAAAAAACCCTTTAAAATTCTATAAAAAAAATTTTAAAATTCTATAAAAAAACTTTTAAATTCTATAAAAAAAACCTTTAAAATTCTATGAAAAAACTTTTAAAATTCTATAAAAAAACTTTAAAATTCTATTAAAAAAACTTTTAAAATTCTATAAAAAAACTTTTAAATTCTATAAAAAAAGCCTTTAAAATTCTGTAAAAAAACCCTTTAAAATTCTATAAAAAAAACTTTAAAATTCTATAAAAAACACTCTAAAATCCTATAAAAAAACCTTTAAAATTCTATAAAAAAACTATAAAATTCTATAAAAAAACCCTTTAAAATTCTATAAAAAAACTTTAAAATTCTATAAAAAAAACCTTTAAAATTCTATAAAAATTCCGTGAACCTCCTTTTTCACTGGGGGACCCTCCAGGGGGTCACCAGAACCCCCTGGACCCCTCCCCAAAATCCCGGGACCCCCAAAAGCGCTCCCACCTCATGACCTCGGCGTAGCTCATGGCCTCGTCGATGCCGGGGAAGGCGCTCATGGCCTCCTGCATCATCTTCTTGCCCATGCTCAGCACGTTGTCCTCCTCGAAAAACTCATCGGGGAGCTCCGCCACGCCCAGGCTGGGGTCGATCTCCTGCGGGGAACGGTGGGGAGGGGGCTCAGCTCGGCTCTGGGACCCCCCCGGGACCCCCATTCCCCGCTGGGGAGGGGGCTCAGTGTGGCCCAGGGACCCCCGGGACCCCCATTCCCTGCTGGGGAGGGGGCTCAGCTCGGCCCTGGGACCTCCAGGACC